GAAAATATCAGTAAATCGGTAAAATGTTTGAAAATTTACATCTAATACTTCGAATTTTTTTAATTTTTAAAAATTTTTTTTACAATAAGCACATGAGTGGAAACATAACAAGATTAAAGAATAAAAACATCTTTTCACATAAAATCCTCTTCCAATGATTTATTTTTGGGAGGGAATTATATAAGAATTGATACTTTTCACTGTGATTTTAATAAAACCTGTTAAACAATCAATCCTTAATATTCAGAACTTTTCTTTCAAATAACATCAAATATCAGCAAAACTATGATTTAAAAAAATGCATTCAAACCTTATGAAAGAGCAAATTACCTTTAATGTGGACATTATTTAGAACCTTTTTTTTTCTTTTACAGTTAACATGTCGATGAAAACTTATTTTTCTTTCTGTGCTCTAAGTAGATGTTATCAGTGATATAAATCTGTAAAATAACAGTTGATTGTCCCAAAACAAACCAGACAGTTAAGACAAGCCGTGGTGTTTTCCAGTGTACAGTGAGACTGAATCAGCTGGAAACTCAAACATTTAGTTCTTCAAAGAGTCTCTTCAGGTTTAATGAACTCTAAAGTGGATCCGTTAAAATAAAGTCCAACTCCAGCGTGTAGCGGCTGAGTGAACGAGGTCTGGACTCTGTGGAGGAGGGTCATGGTGTCAGAGACTCTGTAGAAGGACAGAACACCTGCTCTGTGATCCAGGTACACTCCCACTCTGGATGAGGGACGACCTGAGGCGGGGGTTTGAGTTTTGTTGTACAGAAACACACAACTGTTGGTGTCGCTGCGCAAAGCCCAGGATTTGTCGTTGAATCCAAATGCGCTTTCAGATGTTCTGCCTGCTCTGCTGATGTTCTGGTATGAGACCGCTACGTTAGCTCGATCTCCAGTCCACTCCACCTCCCAGTAACAGCGTCCGGTCAGACTCTCTCTGCTCAGGACCTGACAGTATCTGGTGAATCTGTCTGGATGATCAGGAGGAGACTGAGGTTCATTCACTGATGTCACTTTTCTGTTCCCGTCAGATAGTACCAGCTTCCTGTGTGCTGTGTTTGAATCCAGAGTGATTTCTCGTGAATATTTTAAGAATCCAGCTCTGGTCGTTGGTTCTGACAGGAGAACATCCACGTCAGTGATGGCCAGTGAGATGTTTGTCCATGCATCCCTCAGAATGTCCTGTAGTTTATCTCTGAGCTCTTTCACAGCTGCTGTCACGTCCTCAAAGTGCCTCCGAGGACGGATGCTGATGCTGGATGAGTGTGTGGACTCACTGAGTGCTGACGCTGAGGGGTATTTGTGGAGGAAACGGCTGAGATCTGGTGTCTCTGAGAGCTGCTTCAGCTCAGCGTCTTTCCTCTTCAGATCACTGATCTCCTGCTGCAGCTTCTCCTCCAGCTCTTGGACTCGACTCACTTCAGCCTCCTGCTGGGATCTGATCTGCTGCTTCACCTCAGAGCTTCTTCTCTGGATCAGATGGATCATGTTCATGAACATCTCCTCACTGTCCTCCACTGTTTTATCAGCAGAGACGTTGATGGCCTCCAGCTCCTGTTGAAGCAGCTTCACATCTTTCTCTCTGTCCTGGATCCTCTGCTGGATGTTCAGTCGACTACTCTGGAGCTTCTTCTGCTTCTGCTTCCTTTCTGCTGCAGCTGAGACTGTTTCGTGGCCTCTATGTTGATCCACAGAGCAGAGATAACAGATCAGCTGCTGATCAGTGCGACAGAACATCTTCATCAGCTTATCATGACGAGAGCAGATGTTCTCCTGGAGGTTCTTGGAGGGCTCCACCAGCTGGTGTTTCTTAAAGGCTGGAGCCTCATAGTGAGGCTGAAGGTGGTTGTCACAGTAGGAGGCCAGACAGACCAGACAGGACTTGACAGCCTTCCTCTTCCTCCCAGTGCAGACGTCACAGGCCACATCTTCATCTCCAGCATAGCAGTGATCAGCAGCAGCAGCTTGGAGTCCAGTCTTCTTCAGCTCCTCCACTAACTCTGCGAGCAGCACGTTTTTCTCCAGGACAGGCCTCGGTTTGAAGGTCTTCCTGCACTGAGGGCAGCTGTAGGTTCTCTCACCGTCCTCTGCATCCCAGTGGGCTTCAATACAGTTCATGCAGTAGCTGTGTCCACAGTGAAGAGCCACCGGATCCTTCAGCAGATCCCCACACATGGAACAAGAGAGTTTCTCTGAATGAACGTTAGTTCCTTTCTGAGCCATTTTCTCGACTGAGTGAGTTTCTGCTGTCAGAGCAGTGAAACGACTGAAACCAGTCAGCTCTGGGTCATCACCGAACGTCGGCTCCACCCAGATCCAACGGCCTCAAGGGAGGAAACGATTTCCAGACAGAGGAACGCTTTGAAAGACTGGAAACCACAAACGTAAACATCCGACATGGTGGTTTGGTTCTTTACTTACAGCTTCTTCATACTCTCACATCAAAGTTTTTGCAGCTTTTATACATAAATGTTCAGGTTTTTAATGCTGTAGTACGATAACATACAGGTTTCTGGAAGTCAGTGTATGATCATCCAGCTTCTTTATATTTTGACAATTTCGGCGATAATTTTCCAGGTTTTTTACACTTCTAGTTCATGTCCAGGTTATGGACAACTGAGGACATTCATTTCTAGTTTTTTTGAGGAATTAATTGTAATTATAATAAATTACTGTTTAAATAGGGCTGCAGGGTGGCGCAGTTGGTAGCACTGTTGCCTCGCAGCAAGATGGTCGCCGGTTCGTGTCCCAGTGGGGTTGCCGGGATCTTTTTGCATGTTCTCTCCGTGCAGCGTGGGTTCTCTCCGGGTTCTCCGGCTTCCTCCCACACAGTCCAAAAACATGTTGAGGTTAATTGGTGATTCTAAATTGTCTGTAGGTGTGAATGTGAGTGTGCTTGGTTGTCTGTCTCTAAGTGTAGCCCTGTGATAGACTGGTTACCTGTCCAGGTGAACCTGCCTTCACCCTGAGTCAGCTGGGATAGACTCCAGCCCCCCATGACCCTAGTGAGGATTAAGTGGTGTATAGATAATGGATGGATGTTTAAAAAGCAGTGTACTGTTAAAAAAACAACTGTCAAATCTGATGTTTGCTTTTGAAGCTTGTGTCGCTCCTGCTTTTAGTTTTTTGTCTTTCTGGGTTTGTGCATCTTGTCGCCATGACATCCATCATCTATACACCGATTAATCCTCACTGGGGTCATGAGGGGCTGGATTCTATCCCACCCTGGACAGGTCACCAGTCTATCACAGGGCTACACTTAGAGACAGACAACCAAGCACACTCACATTCACACCTACGGACAATTTAGAATCACCAATTAACCTCAACATGTTTTTGGACTGTGTGGGAGGAAGCCGGAGAACCCGGAGAGAACCCACGCTGCACGGGGAGAACATGCAAACTCCACGCAGAAAGTCCCCCACCGGGACGCGAACCAGCAACCTTCTTGCTGCGAGGCAACGGTTCCAACCCTTTAGGCCGCCATGATATTTAAAAGTGAACATATATTTCATAACCTTTCCATATTAGTGACTGTTGTGACTCTTGTGTTGCTGTTTAAGGCTGTCAATACTCGATGATTCAGTAGCAAATCCATGCAGAGTTTAGCTTCTAGCTCCAACAACAATCGTGTTTAAACACAGATTTATATTAAAATAAGCAGCGAGGCCTCTGCTGTGCATATATCTGAGCATAATTTGAATTATGTACAATTAAATTAGCAATTAAGCAGTTTTCTAACAATAAATCTGAAGGTTTTTTCCCCCCTGAGGGAGCGGAGACCAGATAAGTGGCTGCTTTTGTTCAAACTGTGAGCATGCAGTCATGAATGAATGAACAAATAATTGCATGTGTGTATTTTGGTCAGTAGAGGGCGCTGTTGCATAAGGCTGCTCTGCATTTCTACGGACATCTTGGTGATGTGATGTGAGATGTGCTGCTGACCTCCAGTCACTTCAGAGGCACAAACATGTGAATAAATGAAAAACACGAAAAAGCACGAAAGCAACTTCAGCCACAGGAGTAAAGGTCTGGATGTGGAGCCTGCTGCTGCTCGCTAACCTTCACCATCAAGTCTCTGGAGCTGCTCTTGTCCTTGTTGCTGGTGTTTGCTTTGATGTGTCTTATTTTTGGGTCAGTGAGTCACTCGGCGCCGAGTTCCACCTCAGGAATCATCTCAGGTTAGACGCCTCTCAAATCTAATTGGCCAAACCAAGGTCGTGTGTGTGAAGGCTGCAGCCGGAGGCGACGCTCGGCTCACATCCTGCACTCAGCCGCCATAGATCAGAGTCCAGACAAAGTCAAGGATACAAGTGTGGTCCGGACACATTCAAATATAGTGACTGGAAATGTAAGAGACAAGATGCACGACGAGCATTGATCCCCGCACTGCAAAAAACAGGAGCCATAAAATCTGTTAAATCCACTGGAATACTGTTAAAATAGTGTAAAGATGGTGGAAATAACGGAAAAATATCTGCTAAACTATAGTAGGTTTTACTGATTTAAATACAGTAAAACGCTGTACTTGAACAGTCTCATGACATTAAAAAAAATTTAAATAAAAAATGTTTACCATTTTTACAATGCTTAAAATGCTTCCTTCCTTTTAAAATATTAGCATATCTATGAAATAATGAACATTTTAGCTGATTTAAAGACAGTAAAAAAATAAATAAAAAAGTGGAATTTTATGGTCAAATGTCATAAAAACAAATTATAATTTGTAAACCTACAGATTTTTGACGTGAACATTATTTATTTATTTTTATTATTTATTATTTATTTTAAGTGTGGCCTGTTATTTTGCAGTAAACATGTAAATTAATCCTTGTTTCTATTCCTGTGATTTTTCTACATTTTTTCTGTGATTTATCAAAAACATGGACAATCTATAACCTGAGAATCTAAAATATATTATTTATTCAGTCCCTAATATATATATATATTTTTTTTTTTTAATTTACAGCAAATATCTGTAAAAAAAAAATTGTTTTTTATTTTTATTTTTTGCTAATTTAGATGCAATAAAAATGTAATTTTATGGTCAAATGTTTTAAAATGACAACTTTGTTTTAAAAAAAAGTGTTTTTTAAAATACAAATTTTTGATGTAAACATTAATTACAATTTTGGCCTTTTTTTTTTTTTTTTTTAAAGAATATCAATATTATTTTGCAGTCAGCATGTAAATTCCTACTTTTTTCTGTGATTTTACTGGTTTATTAAATGTAAAATATTTTAGCAAAATAAGAAAATAAGGAAAATCTAAAATTAAAAAAAATCATAAAATTAAAAAAATAAAAAAAGAGGATTGATATAGTAGAGGTGTATTTTTGCTAAATTAATCTACACCTGAACCAAAACTTAAGTAAATCCCAGTGGACTCTCATAGAACCGACTCTACTGGAGGCTTTGGGCTACAAGTTTAAAAAGGCCAAACTCGCCTACGTTTTGTTTTTCTGCATTAAAAAAAAATGTATGAAACATGATGAAAGTTACATTCTTTTCTTAGGTTTTGTTTTCAGCCTTTTTCATACTGTTTTTTCTGTCACTGTGAAGGTAAATGAGGAGAAAACTGAAATAAAAAAAACCCAAGTGTTCATTGGGCTGCTGCAGTGTGGTGCTGATGAGACGACTGAGCAGCTCCGTGATGCCTCCCACTAATATAAGCTTTGCTCTTAATCGGTAATGACCCCTGTGATCCGTGGCTTCTCTCCAGGTGGTGATATGGGAGGCTGGAGGGAGACGAGGCAGAACTCTTACTGTCACAAAGTCTTTTTTTAAAAAGATGTGATTTAAATCTTGAGCTTAATGTAGGCCTGATGGGCTGAACTCACCTGGACCAGCTGTCTCACAGGATTAGCTGGAAATTTGGGGAAATGTGCTCATTTGATTTCTTGCCAACAGTCAGATGAGAAGAGTCCTGGGATAGTATTCAGCCCCTGAAAGTTTTCCCTTCTGATTGATCTTTAACGGTGAATCTTTGTCGATATCATTTGGCTTTTTTGAGAAGAATTTACAAAACAAGATGCTACAATTTTAGCCTGTTCTTCTTGGTAAAACTGCCCAAGTTCTGTCAGGGATCATGAGTGAACAGAACCTTTAAAGTCCAAATCTTCTCCCAGGTCATAGTTCTCTTGCAGACTGTATCAGGTTGTCCCATAGACTGTATAAAAGATGGACGTAGCAACCGGCCCCGAAAAATGAAGCCAACCCGGAAGTGTCAAAAACCTGCGTCCGCTTGCTGCTGGCTCCAAAAAGCCCTGGCTCCCATAGACTGGAATTGGAAAAGAAGTGACCACAGATCATGAAATACTGCATTCCTACAGCTCAGGATTTTTTTCTTATTAGTTTTCATGGTCAAATCCAGAGATCAGGTGGCCAATCTGAAAATAAATCAATACTCAATTTTTAAAAAATCGTCAACATTTTGCGGGTCAAGGGGCGTGGCTGGCTTGATTGACAGTCGGCAGCGACCATACAGACGAAGCGAGCAGAAGGCGGTAAATGTGGGCGGGCAGAGAGAGCCCGCCTCTCAATCCGTCTGACCAATCGCTGCTCCTATGGCTCCGCCCCCCTCCGACGATTTTTGCGTCACTGGCTCCAAAAATCCAAGATGTCAACCAGGAAGTAGCAAAACCCTGGCTTCATTTTCTCAGTGCAGAAACCAACGGGTGACGTCACGGTAGCTACGTCCATCTTTTATACAGTCTGTGGGTTGTCCTCTGGGATTTCCCTACACTTTGCTGCATTAATTTTACCCCCTAACTAACCGTGCTTCACATCATGATGCTGCCACCACCATGCTTCATGGTTATTTTACATTTATTTTGTATTTTATTTTAAATTGATGTAGCTTACGTAGAAATTTGTGTTCACTTTGACAGAAAAGAGTCTTTGTTTTGTACGTTCTTGTCATCAAAAGGCCAAATTAAATTTACTATAATTTAGTCTTGAAAAGAAATAGAAACAGTAAAACTCACATGGTAGGGAATACGAGGTTTTTCAGCTTTGGACGTGAAAATTACTGGAAACTTTTTTGCGGAAAACCAACCACAACAATCAGAGGAGGAGGCGGGAGAAAACCTATACAGTTAATATAAATCAGCAAGAGACTCTGTTGAGCAGGTGCTCGAGTCGAGTGTTGTGTTAGAATTCAAAACAAGCCACGCTACACAGAGATGTACTATTATTAGATGAGCTAAGTAATGAGCAAACAGC